TGTGTGAGTGAGTGAGTGTGTGTGTGTGTGTGTGTGTGTGTTCATTACATGCGTGTCTTTACCTTACAGTACACATGCAGTGCTGTGAAGTTCCATCCCTTCGCTTGGCCCGTATTATATTTCAATATGGCATCCTAGAGAATAATACATGTATTTATAAATCAGTTCAATTCTTGAAATAAACGTCAGAATAAGCAGCAGCACTTGTATTTTCTGTCTAATGATCTGCAGTGAGTTTGCTTTCGTTCCTCATACACTGATGTTTGCTGCCATCAGCTGGACAAAACCAGAAAACTACAACACACCTTTCATTCATTTATTCAGCACTTCAGCACCTTAATGAGGTCAAGACATAGCCTTATATTGATTTACTATAATGTCAACTGATTAAACCAAACCTTTTTGCATTTTTAGAACTTATATTAAAAAGTATTAATCCTTTGTTCCTGAATCAGAGTGTCTCCAAAGGAACGTCGTGCATATTTAATTCATTTCTGAGGGCAGATGTGTTACTATGATAGCTAATTATGTACACGCTGACACAGAATACATACACTGAAACTAAGCGATCGATCATGTGTGTAATTCTTGAGAAGAGAGCAGTGAGATCACCTTCACATCATGAGAAGATCTGAACGGGACACTCAGCGCTTTATGAATCTAATCCCATCGGCTCTGAACAGTCTGTAAATATTCAAACAAACATCATCACACAAATAATTCAGCTGATAACAGTAATACATCCCGTTAGTATTGAAACATCATGGGCCCTGTGTGTGAGAGATAGAGAGAGTGTGTGCGTGTGTATTTTAAAAAAAATTGCTGGCAGTTTTTTTTAAAGCATTTGTGTGTGTGTGTGTGTGTGTGTGTATGTGTGTGAGAGTGTGTGTGTGTGTGTGTGTGTGAGAAAGAGAGAGTGTGTGTGTGTGAGAGAGAGAGTGTGTGTGTGAGTGTGTGTGCGCACTGCAAAAAATGCTTTTCTATCTTATATTTTTTGTCTTCTTTCCAGCCAAAATATCAAAAAATTCTTAAATCAAGAAGGATTTTCTAGACAAGTAAAAATTATTGTCTTGTTTTCAGAAAAAACAAGTCAAAATTAAGTGAGTTTTTGCTTGAAACAAGCAAAATAATCTTGTTTTCTGTTTGAAATAAGATTATTTTGCTTACCCCATTGGCAGATTATTTTTATTTTTATTGATGATTTTATTATTATTGCTGGCGTCTGCGCTGGAAAACCCTCTTGAGTCCCGTGCAGGACGAGTCGCAGCAGAAGGTCGCAGTCGTTCCGGCTTTATTCACATAATCAGATCTATCATGATATCTGCTGTATTTACTCATTCATTCAGAAACAGTCAGCATTGAAGTGGTCATCGGATGCTCATTTTCCACAAGTTGATATGATTCTTTAGGGTCTTCATGAAAAGTGTATAACATACTTTGGTTAACATTTCTCAATGGTAGTGTAAAACAACACCCTTTTTACCCTGTCAAAATCAGCTCTGTTCACAGCGACCCATTTCAGTGCATGTCCCTTTAAATGTTAATAAGCTCTACTGACCCCGCCCCTCTCTTCCGTGGAGTGACGAGCCGTTCTCTGAGAGACTGTTAACTTTAGCCGCGGAACTTGCTAACTAGCACATTATTAGGAAAGGCGATTTGCAAAGATTCATAAAAAAACCTTATACTTATACGAATAATTCGCGTGAACATAGACGCATTTAGGTAGATCAGGGGTGCATTCCCTTCAGAAACAAAAGTAATCCACCGTGTCTTCAGTGGCTCAGATGTCGGGAGTAAATGACGACTGCTGTTCATTATTACATCCAACAACAGAACACCTCAATCACTTAGAAGTCATTCTTGTCTACATCTGCTCCGGCGGTGAAGCAATGGAGGACTGATGACAGTCACTCAGGGCGGAGCTATGATAAAACACCAGTGTCAATCAACAATCGTGGGAGGGGCCTGGGTCTGTGTGACGTCACATTGCCAAGAATCTGAGAACGGCTTGATCTGAGAAAGAGATTATTTATGGGGATTTAAAAAAAAACACTGTGTGGATCTTTATCATTATAGGGTGGTTGTGTACACACTGCGTTGTGTCCAGCGACTCAGTCCACACTGTCCAGCCTTCTTCATCAGGCGGATCAGACGTGCAGGCGGTGGCTTCAGCTCGCGGTACAGAGATCAGACGCGTCTGACGCTGCTGCTCATGTCACGCTTGCACTGATTATGCCGCTGTAAACAGCTGTTGTGTTTTATTGCCGCTGTGTCTCGTCACAGAAGGCTCTGGCTAAAGCGCTGATGGAGCTGAAGACTGTGTTCCTGCAGGAGCTGAAGAAGGACGTTCTTCATCGCGTCTCAGTTTTCTCAGAGGAGCTGCTGATGGACGCTTGCATGAGATCGTGTGCAAACGCATGACTGACGCATGATAATGAATCTAACTGTGATTAAGTCTTTCTGATTGACTTCTGATTGTGCATAAGATGTCATTTCTCAATATAGGCTACTTTCTGTAAATGCATCTGTCCACGACTCATCGCTGATTTTCATTTAGAGATTCATGAAGAGTTTGTGATATTGATTGTTTTTCTTTACAAAGATTGCAGAGATTTCAGTTCTGTATGTTAAATGTATATTAAGTTCACATGATTAATGAATCGCAGAAATCCTTAATTTGTCAGTGACAACACTACTCTATATCAGCCACAGACACACATTCTGCATCACTGACAGACAGATCATTATTAAATTAAATTAAATGTGCTTCTTGCTTTGTGCCCTCTGATCCTGAGAGTTGCTGGTTTACATCTTCACATTTTCCAATCGTTTGATGATGACGAACTTGACGATTTTTACATTATGTTAGCATAAAAAGATTTTTAAAAATTAAGAATATAACTAAATAATTAAATAATTAGAATATTAACGTTTTTGATTCAAGAGGCTTCAGCGAGTCAATAAATTCACAATGAGCCGATATACTTAATACAATTTATACATACAGAAGATTCAAATGAATACAATAGAACAAGTGATATTGTAAAAACAATCTTTGAATGTTTTGTCTTCTGTATATCATAATGCATTATTAATTCATACATTTCTCAAATTATCTTATAAGTCTGAGTTTTTGTGAGAAACATTTTGTACGAAAAGGAGCGCTGACAACACGATATTAAATCAGAGATCATTTCCAGAGACATAACTTTATGTATATGTGTGCGTGTGCTGTTTCCTGCTTGTTTCACCCGGACACTTTTCACAGTGACGCAGAGCCGTAATGGCGGCCTCGCTCAGAATGCTGCGACAGGTCAGAATAACCTCCATATACAACACGCATGATATTAAACTGCAGCGTTAAACACGTTTGGCACTGAGTGTAGATGAGCGACACCTGATGAAATGTGACAGATGCGCCAGCGGAACATTTCATAACAAACTACAGGACAGATGGGAATAGATTATTATAACGAAGCGTAATATTCATATGAGAGATTATTTTATTCTCAAACATGATTTATCCGTATGTGTCATATTCATTACTGACAATCGTGGATTAGCCAGACTGAAGGCAGATAATTAGAGTTTGTCTCTGAAAGTCATGTGAATGTGGTGTTGATGGTGGTTGAGTTTGGTTTGTTTTGATTCTGTCTGTCATTCAGAGCGATTCACTAAACTCTTCATCAGCAGAACCAGTTTCTTCTGAAATACTTACATGAAGTCCAACTGAGATTCAAAGTTAATATTTCAATCATTTATAAAAAATCACCGTTCAATCATGACAATTAATCGATCAATCAAATACAGATAAAAAAATAAAATACTTTTTTGGTTAGTTTTTATATTTACATATTTATAAAGAGCTAATAATTAAATTATACAATTTATAATTTAATTAATTATTAGGTCTTTTATCAGCTCACATACCCCAGTTCAGGAAACACTGAGACATATAGAAGCTGTAATCCTGTGTGTAACAGTGCATGTTTGTTTGTCTGATGTTTGTTTGTCTGATGTCTGTCTGATGTTTGTCTGATGTCTGTCTGATGTTTGTTTGTCTGATGTTTGTTTGTCTGATGTCTGTCTGTTTGTTTGTCTGTTTGTTTGTCTGATGTTTGTCTGATGTTTGTTTGTCTGATGTTTGATGTTTGTCTGATGTTTGTTTGTTTGTCTGATGTTTGTTTGTCTGATGTTTGATGTTTGTCTGTCTGATGTTTGTCTGATGTTTGTCTGATGTCTGTCTGATGTTTGATGTTTGTTTGTCTGATGTTTGTTTGTCTGATGTTTGTCTGATTGATGTTTGTTTGTCTGATGTTTGTTTGTTTGTCTGATGTTTGTCTGATGTTTGTTTGTCTGATGTTTGTCTGATGTTTGTTTGTCTGATGTTTGTCTGATGTTTGTTTGTCTGATGTTTGTTTGTTTGTCTGATGTTTGTATACTTTTTTGGTTAGTTTTTATATTTACATATTTATAAAGAGCTAATAATTAAATTATACAATTTATAATTTAATTAATTATTAGGTCTTTTATCAGCTCACATACCCCAGTTCAGGAAACACTGAGACATATAGAAGCTGTAATCCTGTGTGTAACAGTGCATGTTTGTTTGTCTGATGTTTGTTTGTCTGATGTCTGTCTGATGTTTCTTTGTCTGATGTTTGTTTGTCTGATGTTTGTTTGTCTGATGTTTGTTTGTGTGATGTTTGTTTGTCTGATGTCTGTCTGATGTTTGTTTGTCTGATGTCTGT